GTGTTTCTTTCTTTTCACATCCAGAGAAATATTCTGCCTTTTCAATATTTCCTAGGATATTTCATTTTTCTGGGAGAGGACTGGGTGATAATTTTCTACACTTGCAAGCACATACCGGTAGTCCTTGACTTATGACCAGTGGTTGCATAGAAGACAGAGAAAGAGACCAACAAAAACCCCAACATTTTCCCTTTTCTTTTAAGTACCTTTATTTGGCCAAATTGGTTTTCCTGTGTCATCCCTCAGCAAAGCCCATTTTTTACATATTCTTTTTGCTTTCTTCTCATTCATACATGCTAGGATAGGCATCTCCCTCTTGTCCTAAGCCTCAAGCAAGTCTCCTAAAGGGTTTTTTTTAAACCTCCCTTGAACTGTCACGTCCCATGTTTTTTCCCCTCTCCGATGTGGGGTTTAACACTTTGGTTCAGCCCGGTTAGTACCACATCAATTTTCAGACAAAAAGGTCTGGAGAGGACTTTGGCTCCCAACCTGAAGTATGTGTACCTCTTCTTTTAGGGAACTCTGCTTCCAGGTTTCAGACTCCTCTAAAAAACGAGACTCTGAGAGGACCTGCTGCCCCCAACACAGATGAGTATGAACATCTCTTACAACTTCATGCCTTGCTTAATGACCTAAAAAATCCTGGAGTTTGCTTTTGGGATTTTCACAGGACAGAAACAACAACAACAAAATTTCCTTTCCCATCCTTCAATCACAGCCTGCTTGGCTTTCCCTCTTATATACAGAAGATCCCACATTCTGATGGCCCCCCTTGCTTTCCCAAACCTGCTGGTCACTGCTCTTTCGAACTAACAGCAGGTTGAGGGGGCGGGGGCGGCTAGAGACCAGAGAAATAAAATCCAGCTGCTGTCCAAGGGTGAAACCACACACACACTTCCCAGGCTTTTCCATGCTTTAAAATTAAAATTTAGAGACACTCACCCTCTTTCCAAGCAGCCTTTGAGCTCAAAACCCCTTTAAAACCCTATTCCAAATGGCCAAGGTCCAAGAAAAACATACCAACAGACTCAATGGGTCTGTTGCTAACAAGGGAAGCTTACTTGGGCAAGGTCCATTGGTTAGGTTAGCTTGGAGTCCCATCTGGGATGCCACATTGTTGGAAGAAATGTCCTTCTGGGGTCAGTTCTAAGTGGGGGAAAAGACACTGGAAACATGGAGGTTGTTTGAAAAGATGGTTTTAATGGTGGACAGGACCGCATGGCTTGAAGTCCTAGGCAAAAAGGGGATCACATGCTTCAAAGATGTTGAGTGAAGAAAAAGAAGGAAAAAAAGAGTCTTGCTGAGAGTCCCTGAGTTTTTATACCCTCTGTTTGGCCCCATCCCAAAGCTTCCGGTTCCTGTGCAAGAAATGCATCCAGATTGGGTGTCAGGGGGGGGGAGGGTCTTAGCTAACTTTGTAGGATGTCTGTCTTTTGAGTCCCAAGCTTGGTTGAATTCCCAGATGCCATGTGGTGAGTTACCGTTGCAGTTGGGTCTGCCTGAAGAAGGTAGATCTTTGTTATGTAGAATAGAGTAGCTCAGACCTTTAATGGTAACTGTGGTTTAAACTAGACAGGGCAGTGCTTTTTGTACTGCCCCTGTGTTCAGCATCACCTTCCTTTTCTTATCCTTCCTTCCTGTTTCTTCTTTCAAACTGTGACTTCTCCTACCACAGCTTTTTGTTTGAGACATAAGCTGGTAGCCTCTAGCCNAACAAGCAAGATTTGAGTTATGGAAATTACAGTGTATCAGATTCATAGCATAATGTATATTTTCTGTTGTAGAAAGAAGTCTTGGAGAATTGTACGTTGCCACTGAAGACATGCTAAGTGACAACAGCAGCACACTGACTACAACTGGGATCATCCAGTGAAGGAAATGAGCTCAATAAAGCCTGTGTGTGTCCAATAGGAGAACTTCAGACTGGAGGATGAAGCTTTGGTTCCATAGAATGGTTTAATAGACTCTTAGCAGAGTCTGCAGCCACTCTATGATTTATGGGCATAAATACACATCTCAGTCAGAATTCATGGGCACTTTGGAATTTTTTAAATAGGAAAAATGAGGAACTTCAACTCAACAAATAAAGATTCAAATAAAGAGTTAAAAATCATTTCAGGGATCTAGGAAAAACTTGTGAAATCAGTGTGGATTAAACACTTCTATGACTGTAGCTTATCACATGGGTGCTTTTAACATTTCTGAAATTAATGATATTATTAATGGAACACTATTCTTCAGAATTGCACTGTCCATGGCACGTGGTTTCCAGCTATATGCTGTAATCTCTAATATTCATTTCAGTAAAAACGGAAATGTTAGATGCCTTTCTTTTATGAAGTTTTTATTAAGCCAGGTTACCTGCCCATGTACAGATCGATCTAGGTTATCTGCTATATTTGAACCACTTTGCCACTTGCCATCCCATTTTTTTGTATAGTCGCTATATCGACTTGTGGCATTCTGATGTGTCTTGGTTATTTATCTGGCTGCTCAGTTGTCAAAAACCTTCATACACCAGCAAGGCATTGATTAGGTATCATTAAGTAAGTGTTGATTCTTGGTAATCCATGCAGACAAACTTTATCCAAGATTTGCCTTCAACCTGGCCTTTTATGTCTCCTAATGGTGCATTCATTGCTGCTATAATCGAGTCCATTCACCTTGCTGTTATTTGTCCTTTTTTCCTTTGTTGTCATTCCCCCCCCCCCAAGCATCATGAACTTTTCAAGGGAGCTGATTCTTAGCATAAATCTATCCAAAATACTATCAGTTGACTCTGATCATTTGTACATTGAGTGAGAACCCTGGATTAATATTTGTTTTCTTGACTAGCCATCCATGGTATTCTTAGAAGTCCTTTTAAGCATCAAAAGCATAAATGTTCTATTTTGCTTTTTTAAAATCCAACCTTCATATCCGTAGAGTATCACATGGAAACTCAAGACTTGTACAGTTCAGATATAGACATAACAAGGCATTTAAGCATTTTTTCCAAGGCCTTAACTACCATCCTATTGGTATGAGACTTATTTCTTGACTGCTGGTTTGTTTACTGTTGATATTGTTAAAAGGCAGACACTATCCACTATTTCAGCACTGTCAGTCCTAAGATAGGTTATTGTATCTGTTGTCATTAGCTTTTCTTTATATTTAATTATCCCAATTTTTCTTCACTGTGCTCGATTTTCATTACTATAGCTTGCAGATCACTTGTATTTTTTTGCTATCAGGATAGTATCACCAGCATACCACAGATCACTGATGTTTGTTCCTCCAGCTTTAAAGCCATCCTCATCTAGCAGCCTGGCTTACCCCTATAGATAACAGATATATAATCAGCATATAGGTTGAATAAAAAAGTAGTATTATCTCAATTTGCTGAACTGGAACCAATCTGGTTCATAATGTTTCACCTTGCCTATGACTTCCTAATCTGTTACAGATTTAATATGAGGACAATGAGGTGTTCTGAGATTCCCTTTTCCTAAGGACATTTCACAACTTAACATGGTTAACATACTCAAAGGCCTTTCTAGAGTCAATGAAGCATATACTGACTTCTTTTTGCCTTTCTCAATTATCTAGTATGCATTGGCAATAATGTATTGTGTGCCTTGTTTTTTCTAGTCAGTTTGAACATCTGGCATCTTTTTTTCCATGTAGAGCTCCAATTTGCTTTGAATGATCCTAAGAACTATTTTAGTAGCATTTAATATTGAGAATATTGTGCAATAATTTGCACACTTGGTTAAGTCTCCTTTCTTTGATACTGATATGCAGAATGATCTCTTCCTATCTATTGTCCACTATAGCATGTTGATTCATTTAATCTTGTTGTGCTGAACTAATAGTAAGCCACAGGTGGAAAAGGTCATTGCTCCCATAAGCAAAGAAGTTGAGGGAGAGAAGACTACATAAAAGTGTAGTTTGTGAAAAAAAAATGATACAAGTTTATAGGAGAGACCATAGTTACTTGCAGGTTGCACAAAAAAACGGGGGGAGTGGGGGTTGTGTTTCCAAAATGGTGTTGGGAGCCACGGTGCCATATTGGAGCTTTCACGCAAACCTCACTCCAATAAATTTAAGTTTTTAATTACAGCAACAAATTATCATTGTTTTCTAATAATTTGTTTCTATTCTTCATTTTTCACAAATATTGCAAAACTATTGGAGAAATGAAAGTAATTTGCTATACCAGTTTCTATTTCCCTTTTCAATGTACAGGACTGTTTCTCAGCCATGCTTCTTATTGCAATTTTTAAAAGTTGATCTTTTGTTCAATAAAATGGTGCTTCTTTATACCTCTGTGGCAGTCTAAAGGGAAAGTTACTGTGAGTGTTTTGGTTACTATTTGACCAGAGTCCATGCATGTGAGATCAGATATAAATCTGATCAGTATGCTTACCATGGAGGAAGTGGTATCTCAACACATAGGACCCAAATATCTATTCCCCCATACTCTAAATTCAAATTTATTTAGGAGGGGAAAGACATGTATTGTCCCCATTGTTAACAGCCAAGTCTTCAGCAACCTATTGTAAAAAACAGTGATACCTGTTTGCAGATATAAATCTAATATGCAAAAGAAAATAGTTGTATTTCATGTTCAGGAGCTTATTTCTGTGAACAAAATATTTCTGTGAACAAAAATGTATGTTGAATGTTTTTTATAGCAACCTCTGAACAATATTATTGTTGGTTAAATCTTTACATGTTTTTGTACAATTACTGCAGTGGATATTGTAAGGATGGTATACATCCAAGAAGACAATGAGGATAAAAATAGTTTTTTGATTTCCAGATCACATCCAGTAAACTGAACTCTTCTTTCTTCGTGTCCTCTGTCAGTGAATCAGGAAAGAAAAAAACAAGTCATCAACCATAAATGAAAGTGATACCAAGATTAGCATGTTACATTTTCTTAAAGCTGATTTCCTTGCTTTTATCTCCTCCTCCGAATTAGAAGTCCATCTATTATTTCACCCCTTGATAGAAACGGCTGTAGCTGCATTTTACTAAAGTTGAAACCATGCAGCTAACACCCATATTATTGTTGTGGGAAAACAACAACAGTTTAGATGAATGGGACCAATTAAATCAAGTTGATATATAGAGATAAAAGGCCATGTTATCTTAGAACCATCCCAAAGGTTTGTAAGGGGAGATGTTTTCCTTTTGGCATCAGGTATTCTTAAACTGCCGCCTCCTCTTGATTTATGGGGGGATGATTTACACACACACACACACACACACACTGCTCTTATTTTTTGCTTCATTGGTCTCTAGGTTTCTGAGAATAAGCAAGCAGCAAGAAATAACATAAGCTCTTATAGCCTATAAACCTAAAAATCATTACCTATGAATATGTATGTTTATGCCATGCATTGCTAATGAATTAGTTTCTGCCTCCTTCATGAGATGTATATAAGTGCATCGCTTTGTGGAGTGAGGTCTCTCACTATTCTTTGGAGCGACTTCCATCAGCACATTTAATGCTTAATATGGTCTTTGACTTGTCACCACAATTTCTGCTGTTAAGCCAGGTGATTGTTCGGTGAGTCACCCCCACTTTTACAACCTTTTTTTTGCCATGGTTAAGCAAATCAGTAAAGTTGCTAAGTAAATTATGTGATCAAGTATCTTATGATTCTTGATGAATGTATTCTATTTTATTTTTCTTTATGTACACTGAGAGTAGTAGTTTTTTTTCCAAAGCATGAGCGTGGGACACATGTTCTTGGAAAAGATTAAAAATTGAGCAGATCAGGGAGACTCGATGAGTGCTTTTAATTTTTTGGATGCAGAGACAGCAGGAGGAGGATTCCTTCAGTGGCTCCCAAAAGGAAAGCTTTCAACCATGAAGGTCTAGCAGCCAGGACAAAACTTCTGGAAAGAAATTTACAGTATCCAATTTTCTATGCCAATTAATTTCAGATGTCACTTTCTGTGAACTTGCAGACAGGTTTCAAGCAAGCATAAGCCCCAAAATTCTTCACAGCCATGGTTTTGCCTTTAAATAACTACAGGCTGCCCATTTCCAAGAGATGGTTCTTGAACCATTGTGAGTCCAAATTTAGGTTAACCAGTTTGCAATCCAGGCTGCTTAATATTTTTAAAACACAATGAGCCCTGGAACTCATGAGACCCCCAGTGCAACGTATTCTGCTTTACTGGGCAGAATCATTTGTGAGTCACAATCATGGCTTGGGTTTTGGAGATCTTTTCTCCTAGCTCTTTCAAGTGGGGGAATTTCCTGAGGGGGATGCCCCTCCCCCTTGGAATTATCAGGGAGTAACCGCTTAGGCCTTAATGTGCCACAGAGCACAAATCAACATAGGACAGTGATGGCAAATCTTTTTCACCTTGGGCGCCAAAGGAACGTGCATGTATGCTATCTCGCACACTCACATGCCCACCCCCATAATTTAATGCCCCCCGTGCCATATCACCTGCACCTGCATGCATTACTGCTGCTCCTCGCATGTGCACATGGCTTTCTTGAAGACTGGGGATTGCGAAAATGGCCTCCCCCCCCCCCCGAGACTCTTTGGAGGCCAGAAACAGTCCATTTTCAGACTTCCGATGGGTCCGTTTTTCACCCTCCCTTGGCTGCAGAGGCTTCTAGGAGCCTGGGAGGGTGAAAAATGGCCCAACATGCAAACTGGAAGTCCATTCTCTGAACTTCCAGTTTGCGCATTGGGCAGTTTTTCACCCTCTAAAGGCTTCAGGAGGCTTCCCTGAAGCCTCCGGACAGTGAAAAACAGCCCAACGCGCAAACTGGAAGTCCGTTCCCGAACCTCCGGTTTGCATGTTGTGCTGTTTTTCGCCCACCGGAGGTTTCAGGGAAGCTTCTGGAGGACAAAAAATGGCTGAAAATCAAGGCCGAAAATTAGCTGGCCAGCACGCACATGCGCACAGGAGCTGACAGGGCAATGCCTCACGTACCCTCAGAAATGCCTCTGCGTTTACAATATAGATGTGTTGGAAGAAATGTCCTTCTGGGTTTGGCTCCAAGTGGGGAAAAAGACACTGGAGACATGGAGGCTGCTTGGAAAGATGGTTTTAATGGTGGACGGGACCACATGGCTTGAGTCCTGAACAGAAAAGGTGATCTCATGTTTCAATGTTGGTGGAGAAGAGAAGAGAAGCTGAGTCCCTGGTT